TTTTTTTTTGTGCCTGTGGACTTTAATTACAGTTCTGTGGAAGTGGAAGGAAGTAGAAGGGAAGAAGAAGGGAAGATGCAGCTTTGCACTGAGGATCTCCCTGAAACAGGAAACAGAACAGCAACAGAACACAAACAAAGTTCTATTTAATTTCATATTTTATTAAAAAAAACAAAACAAAACTTTGTCACCATAAATAATAAAGTTTATAGGGCCAAAATACTCTTAGAGATTAAGAGTGAGAGAACTCTGAGGAGCTGAAGAGCTGAGGCTGGGCCGGAACTCTGAGGCTGTTCCCCATGAGGACAGAACGTCCTGTGGTGTCCCCAGAGTATCGTGTTCACCACAAGTAGCAAATGGGTACTGGGTGCCTCCCAGTGTGCTATAGATTGGGACAGTATGGGCTCTGTATGAGCACATCACGTCAGCTTTCCCTTTTCTTGCTCTCTGTGAAGCCAGGCTTGGGGTTTTCTTAGAAAAGCTTCTGGAACACAAAGTTCCAGCTGTGGTTGGGAGCCCACGAGCCTGGCCTGTCCACCAGGACAGCACAGCTCTGTGTTTGGGACGTGCTGCGTTGGCACCAGCAGATAAAATTCCAATTTGTGCCCTCCAGATAATAGAGGTAGAATGGCAGAGCCCTTCTCAGCATCCTGCTGAATTCTCCTGGAGGTGATGTCCCCAGGCTGCTGCAGTGCCCACAGAGGTTTTCAGCACTTGGCTGTGGGATTTGTGATGTTTGGGTGGTGTTGGGGTGTCAGGCTCCTGCTCTGGAGTGTTCTGAGAGCCTGGGGAGTGCTCTGGAAATGGGAGAAAATCCTGGAATGGTTTGGGTTGGAAGGGACCCCAAAGTCCCATGGGCAGGGACACCTTCCACTGTCCCAGGTGGCTCCAGCCTGGCTGTGGCCACTTCCAGGGCTTGTACCCAGAGGGTTCAGTCTGTCCAGTAAGGGACACTCCACACCCTCTCCAGGTGCTAGAGCCAAGCTTTTCTCATCACACAGGGCTGCATTCTCTATATCCAAAGTTTCCTCACCAAACCAGGGTTGGATTCACTACAGTCAAAGTTTCTCACCTTTCTACAACCAATGTTGTGCAGCTTGGAACTGGAGGGACTGGAATCTCCTCACCTGCCACCCAGCAGGGCTGCAGCCAGGAGGGGCTTCCTGGCAGTCACACCTGGGGATGCAGAGAGTCCCTCAGGCAAAGGGCAAAGGTCTGCTGAACAATGGGCTAAATCATCCTTTGCTCGGTGTGTTTAGTCAGGAGGTTCTTTGTTGGGTGAGGTCTCAGCTGGAGCGTGCTGTGACACATGCCAAGGAAGCTGGGCAGCTCAGGAAGGGCTGCTGGCCCCGTGTTGAGGCTGCCAGCATTCATTATTCTGCTTTCCTCCAGGCAAAAATGGCTTCAGCTACCTGAACTCCCGGTGTTATTTCCTGTCGTGACACAGGGATTATCCCAGGGCATGTTTTGAATGGAGCAACCTTCTGGTTTTACTCCCAGCCTGTTTCTGCACTGTTCGTGTGTTCAAAGCAAGCACGGGGATTTTTATTTTGCAACTGTGATTTTATGGGCAGGGAGCAAATAATGATGTGAACAGCGTGGCTCAGCAGTACCATCTGTGTTGCTTTGGGGTAGATGCTGACTGAAAACTTGGCTCATAATACACTTTGTTTCTTTTAAAAGAAGTGCAGTTTCTACTGAGACTTTTAGAAATCTTTCTTTGACTAAAGCAAATCTCAATCTCAATCTGGTATCTCCTCGTTTTGCATTTACATCAAAAGACTCCCCTTTCTTCCTCAAAAATCAATGGTGTGGTTTGAGTCATCATTTGTTTTTGTGCAATAGGGATTGACTCGTGTGTCAGAAGAGGGACAGACAGGATGAGAGACATGAAAATAATGTGGGAGAGGAGTGAAACAAAAAAGAAAGTAAAATTGAGTAATAAGGTAGAATAAATCAACATAGAGAAATAATTTAAGACCACCCAGCTGCAGCATAAGGATTTTTTTTTTCTTGATTTTTATGTATTCAGCTACAATTTTAATTCAGACAAATACAAAATGTTTTGATTTTGACCAATCCTTGCTGAAGCAATCTCAGTCCTGACAGATGCACCAGGGGAGCAAGAGCTGTGGACCAAGGAGCACAGGGTGTTGTGAGGAATTTCCTGTGGAAAGGGCTGTCCAGGCTGGGCAGTGGTGGGGTCCCCATCCCTGCAGGGATTTAACAGCCCTGGGCATGTGGCAGCTGGGGGCTGGTGCCACTCAATGGTCTTGGAGAACTTTTCCAACCTGAGCAATTTTTGGGTTCTGTGATGAGTGATGCATGTGCTGGATGCTGGAATATCAAAGCCCTGCCAAAGGAGAGAGGAGCTCCCTCTTCTCACGGGGACCCAGCTCTCCATCGTGGGGTGTTTGTGGGTGGAATGTGAAATTCCAGAGGAGAGGGCTGGTGGTGCACGAGCTGACACACCCTGGGCTTATTTGGTCAAGTTCAAGTGGGACAAATTTCCTGTCTCATCATTCAAAAGGCTAAAAATGGTGCAGACCACCGATTTATTTTCTTTTTTTTTTTTTTTTTCTTAGAACTTATGCTCTACAGATGAAACTGAGTCAGACAGATGTAATTTGAGTGATTATCCCTCTTGGCTCAGTCCTCCCCTTGCCTTGGTAGCTATAGAAATCTTTGTAACCAGGGGATAATATTTCCTTCCAAAATCAACTGCAGAGTGGAAACTGTTCCCCCAGATGCTTTACAGCATCTGTGCATCACAACTGCAGCTCTAAGTCTTATGGATAAACATCTTCCCAGATCAAACACTTTGTCCTCAGCAAAGTTGTTTTTTTTAATTCCTGATTGATTTTTTCTTTTCACTGTTTGTCCTCAGGACGTGCCAGTCCCCTTTCCACTCAGAGCTCTGATAGTTTCCTTTTCTATTCCTTCCAAACTGTTTTTCCCCTAATTTTTTTCTGCTTTGAGTTTAAGGTGACAACAGTGTTTTTATCAAATGGAAACAGTGAAATGTGGAATCTGAAACCATCAATTTGTATTTAGTACACATCCTTAATGGTTACTCAGCAATCTCACTGTTCCAGAAAAAGTAATTTGTGAGCATGAGAACTGATGACAGTTTGTTTCCTACACATTTTGTGTAATGGTTGGTCAACTCTGGTGTCTAAGAGACAACCAAAAAAAGTCTAGGGGAGCTTTTCTCCTGGAAAGACCATTTATTTATAAGCTACCAGGGGGATGGATGGGATATTGGAATTCCTGGGTCAGATGGGATTTTGGGCAGGAATTGTTCCCTGGCAGGGTGGGCAGGGCTGGCACAGGGTGCCCAGAGCAGCTGTGGCTGCCCCTGGATCCCTGGCAGTGCCCAAGGCCAGGCTGGACATTGGGACAGTGGGAGGTGTCCCTGCCATGACAGGGGTGACACTGGATGGGCTTTAAGGTCCCTCCCAACCCAAACCCTTCTGTGATTCCACGAGAGAGGATTTAGGATGGGAAATGAGGGCAGTGCCTTCCTTGCTCCACTCCCTTTCATCTGGTCCTGCTGATTTTCCAGGTACACTGGGCAGATGTGCAGGGTTTAAATTATCTGTGCTTGGCAGCCCTCAACGTGTGCCAAATCCATTCCTGGTGTCAGGGAACTGTTCCATATATTAAGGTGGATATTTGGGAGCTGTTCAATCTGTACACTTATTGCAGTGCTGGCAGAGTAATTATTAATTGTGCAGTGCAAGGTCCTGATTTACACAGAATTTCCTATTCTGTGATTTTTTGACTCTGTAGCAAATACTGTAAAAATCCAACCTGATCAGAAATCCTCCCAGATTTTCGTTTCACCTGAGGAATGGATGGGAAGGAGAGCAGGACCCATTTCCAACTGAGCCCAGGCAGAGAATATTTATTGTTCTATGACTTCATTTATTTTGAAATTCAGTAACAAAACTGACGTTGAAAACGAAGACGTTTTGGTACTTGCACAAACCCTTTTCAGTTCAGGCCCCTGGGGATTCTGTCTTGTTTTTGGTGGGAGAAGCAGTGCAAGTTCTCAGCTGTGTGTGTGAGCAGCAGCAGTGGCTGTGCTGCTCTGTGTCCTCGCTGTGATCAGCCCCTCCTGTGCTCCCTGCACAGCTCATTTTGTCCTTTATCACTGCACTCATTCCAGTGCTCTGGAACTTCGGGTTGCTTCTCCTGAAGAACAGTTTCAGGTTTCCAAGCACAGACTGCAGCTGCCAGGAAAAATAAATTTGCATTTTCAGCTCCCTCAGAGCAGCTGTAACCAGGGGGGTTTTTTTAACTGGGGTAAAATTAAGAAATGGGGAAATAAAGCATGTCCAGGGCATCATGAAACACCAGTCAAGCTGTATTTAAACTGCTAAAAGTTGTTGTATGAGTCTTTTATTTATAATGTTTGAAAGCTCGTTTCTTTCTGTTTATCCCAATGTCTCAAAACATCTTTTTTTTTTCTTCTTCTGTAAAGCAAAGTTTCTTAATTGGACTTAAACTGTTTGAGCAGGTGTTTGTGTGTTCCCTGCTTCAAGGTTAATAACCAGATCAGTTGGCAAAGTCTGTTTGCCAATGTAATAAATGAATTATTTCCATTGGATGTGTGTTACATGTTCTGTGTTGTGTAATCAGCCCCGAGTCTTTCATCCCTGGCAAAGGGGTTCCAGATTCCACAGCACCCCAGTGCCACAGGCTCCACATCTGCACCAGTCAGGAATTATTTTTGTGAAGATTGTGGATTACATCACTTAATTCCCTCTCCCTCATCTTGCCTCCTTCACTTGGATACGAGTTGTTGGAAAGGCACAGAAATAACATTGATCTGGCACGGGCCATCCCAGATTCATTAATGGAATAGCTTTATAGAGCACAGCATTTCATTTTCAATGAATACATCCAACCTGACTCAGAAATTAGCATTTCAGTGGGAGTTCCCACATATCAAATTCCAGAGCTGATGTATCTTGGGAAGTTGCCTGGAAGGGAAAATGCTGCTCTAGCTGAGCTTCATTTTGCTAATGACGATTTTTGTCTTTATTTGTTAAAGCAATAACATCATCTGATCTTAAATGTTCCAGAGCAGCAAATGGTTGAAATCTTTTGGATTTATTATTATTTCTTAGTGTCACTGAGGGTTTTTTTTTTTTTAGTTGAACCTGTTTCTTACAGACAAGCTGAAGCATTTTCTCTGTTTGTAGATGCCCCGGGACCAGACAGTGTGTAAATACTGCGGGGTCAGCTACCTGACACTCCACGAGTTTAAGGTGATGGAAGACAAAGTCAAAGCAATGGAGAAGGAGATTAAAGTTTATAAAGGATGTCTAGAACGGGAGCAGAGGCTTCAGGCAGAGTTGCAGGCTCTTCACCACGACCTGGAGCGCTGCCGGGCTGAGAGTGAATCCAAAACAGAAAGGTCAGAGCTCCTCCTCTCCTCTGGTCATGTCTCGTGTGTGTGTGCTGGGAACTTCAGCCCAGAGCAGCTTCAAACACAAATAACATTTGTCTTTCTTTCCTCACGTAGCCCCTGGACACTGCAATGCTTCATTGAAATCATCTTTCATAGTGTCCTTTTGGAAGCAGGGTGAGAATTCCTGAGCAGTGAATGGAATATGTGGAAGGTGAAGGAAAGAGGGATTTCCCCTGCACACACTCCCAAAGGGAAATGATGAATGTTTCATCTGATCATCTTGTCATAAATCTCTAATATTCCAAATGCAATTCCACAGGTCTGAAATTCGGGCTGACTGTCTCACTGTACCCTGGGAAAGAATTCCCAGAGTTCTGCCCTGGGAATCTCAGGATTCCCTCTCTGCAGGGCTGGTACAGAACCCTAAAACAATGAGGAACATTTTAGGAACTGCCAGGGGCATTTTGCTTCACAAACAGGAGGATTCAAATCCTTACAGGCCCCATTAAAGGGGGAGTTTTGTACCTTAAGAACTCCAGTAATTAATGATGGATCTCAGAGCCACATTTGGATTTTCAGGGCACAACTAGGACCTTCAAGTGTGTTCTTTCAGCTCATACTTACAGGGTTTGTTCCTTTTCCATGCACATATTTTGGAATCTATTGTTACATTCCATTAATTGATTACAGTAGGACTGTAAATAATTGATATTTCTAGTCAATTAATAAAAGATACTTCATAAAAATGCAGCTTGCTCAGGTTTGCTACTGATGGATTGAGGCCACCAGAAACTCCTGGGTAATTTTTTGCTCATCTGACTCCATCAGACAGAAGGATGAGGTTCTAATTTTAATTCTCAGCTCAGTTTGATTTTTGGGATTCCCAGGAGGGATATTCCTTGTGTGCCTGCCTCACATCAAGGGATCTAGAGCTGAAGGTGCTCTTGAGATTGGACTGAAATGCTTTGGAAACCTGATTTTTTTGGAGAATCACTCAAATACTGTTAAAAATGTAACTTAATTAATGGATTTAGTTTGGCTTTTGCTTGCTAATATTACTAATAAAAGATTAATTTTAGAGCACAAGTTCCACCAAAAGTGAAAAAAAATGCATTTATCTTGTAAATTACTCATAACGTTTCTTGAAATAGCTTTTTCATTTAAATTTAACATCTTCCACCCCCCCCCTTTTCCCAATATTTCATCTTTTCTGTGGTTTCATATCTATTTTTAAAGCTTGTTTGCTCCTTGTCCCTTTAATGACCCTGGGTGGCAGCTCTGGTGGCAGAATCCAGTGTGTGAGCAAATGCACTGACAGCACATTCTTCTTGCTGGGGATCATTTACCAGAGCTAAACTTTAAATTTTCATCGAGCTGACTTTTTGTAGTAAAGCTGGAACAGTTAATAAAATTTTTATCTCTGCACTTTTCCCCCCTAAGGCTCCATTTGATTTAAAAGCTGCTGAAATCAAGTGGAATACTTGCAGTAGGTTTCCATTCCAGCCATAAATCAACCCCTGTGCCTTGTTTAGGAACTTGGCTGAATATTCCTTATTTTCTCCTTGCTGTCCTGGGCCTCTCTGACTACCTTGTGCTGTGCTATCAATATTCAACTTCCTGGGGCTGACAAATCACTGCTCCCACAAGCCAAACATGCCTTTTTCTTACTTTTATCTCTGCTAGAAGAAGGGATTGAATCTCTCTTATCAGTTGCAGGCTGTTTCAGTTTTCTGTTCCCTCTAGGTTCAGGTTTGTACCTGTGGTTAACCTTGAAAGCCACCTGGGACTTTACTTGTCCTTACTTACCTTTTTTTGGGATCCTGGCAGGAGGAGGGCAATGAACTGCACTGATCCCACTCAGCTATTCAACCTCAATCTGTGTTAAGATCACTTCAGTCTTGATAATTAATTGAGTTATTATTAATTTAATTAGCAAAATTCTTGCTGCATCCAGTGTAGGAAATGTAAAAAGAGATGTAAATCATGTTGAAGGTCTCCTCAAGTGCCACATCCACACATGTCTTGAACACTTCCAGGGGTGGTGACTTCACCACTTTGTGAACTGAAAATGAGCAGCTCCTTGCTGTGAAATGAAAGTGAGCAGCTCCCAACCTTTCATGGCAGTGAAAGCACCGGGGTGGAGCTGGGTTTGGACAGAGTGTCCCAGTTCCCTGTGTGCCTCCTGTCCCTGCTGGCAGTGCCAGCGCTGCTCCATCCCACTGGGATCCCTGTCCATGGAGTGCAGGGATTCTCTGTGTGCTGTGAAACTCAGCCTTCAGTGCCCTGGAGCAGGAAACTGGGGACAATGAGGGTGCTGGCAGCTCCTGCTGGGTTTTCTCGTGCTGCTCCTGAGCGTGTCCTGACTCCCCTCCCACTCGGGGCAGGATTGCCCCTGTGCTCCCCAGGAACACGAGCCTGGCACAGGGGATGAGATCAGTGTGTTCCCCTCATTCTCCAAATGCCACCTTGTACCGAGCCACTGCACTCACTGCACTTCTCCCCAAAATACCGTGTTTATTTTGTTTCCTCCTGATGGGATCCGTGGAGTGGAACTGCCCTGCCTTTTCCAGGGTTCTTTTGTGTGTGACTGAGCAGGACATGCTGGAAATATCCCTTTAATGTCAGCTCTGGAATGGAAAGAGGAAGAAAACGTGCCTCTCCTTGTTTACCAGTTTCTTTTTAATCCAAAAGATTTTCCAATACTACCCGTTCTAGAACAAGAATGGAAAATGAGCATCTGGCTGTCCCTGGCTCCCAGAGTTTAGATTTGTTATTGGTCAGTGATTAATCACTGGGTTGGTTTTTTTTTTTTCCTCATCTACAAACGTGGTTTTTAATTCCTGTAGCTATTTAGGGAATGGACATTTCCTTGTGAGTGACAACAGTTCTGCTCCCAACTACAATCCAACAGATTTAATCTCTCCCTTCCTGCTCTCCACCTCCTGGAAATTTGCAGGCAGCAATGGGTAAAATTTCCTAAAAGGGTAATGCCAGGAATGTCTTCATTTCTTTTGTTCCAGGGATCACAATTACTCCCCCAAAATTTGCTTTTTAACCCCCAGATGTTCAGCTCAGATTTTTTCAGAACTCTGCAGATCCAGGTTTCTTAACTAGGACTAATATTTTTTTAAATGTGCATTTTGGTGCTGATCTGTGTAATAATAGTAACAAATGCACTGTCATAGTTGGGTTTAATTTTTTATATATTTTCAGTATAACTCATTCTCATTTTCTTCTGCTGCTTAAAATTGAAGCCAAGGCTGATGTAGTGCTTCTGCCAGCCTTTGGTTTTGTACAATACTTGTCTATTCAAATATTATTTATTTACTTGTGACAATGAGTCACCAGCAGACAAATAGATCATTTTCTCTGTGTGAACAGTAAGTGTTGAAAGCTTAAACAGGGGCTGGTTTTTAACAGTTGCTTGTCACTGGAGTTGTATTTTTTGGGGGCTGGAAGGCTGCTTTAGGATGGTTATCTACAGAAAACAGCTGGGGCTGATGTGCTGGGTGGGATTGTTCCTCACATGTACCACAGGAAGGGAATTGGATTCAGCTCTTTTATCCCTGTGCAGTTCCATTCATTTCCTGACAATTATGGGAGCAAGTGCTGAATTGTTGAAAGAGCAGAGTTAAAACTGTGTTTATTTCCACTGGAATGGCTGTGCTTGAAAAACAAACTGGTGCTGTAAAGGAAAGTTCCCAAAGTGAATGTTAGAGGTGAAGAACACCTTGGGGGGATGGTTCTGGATGGTTCTGGGGGTGTTTGCTGTGGCCAGCACAGAACTGGCTGAAAAAAGCTGAAACCAAAGCTGGGGGTTGATTATTGGTACAAACAATTCTGATTATTTTATTTATGTCTACAGGATAAAAGCCTTGACAGTGGAACTTAAAACCAAGCAGGAGGAGATGAAAACTGTGAAAGCTGATTTGCAATATTTCCAGGAGGAGAAGGAAGCTGCCTACAAACAGTCACAGGTGCTCAGGTGAGAACCCAAAAAGAAATGCTCTGTTTCTTACATAAATATTGTTTATAAAGATTCACCATAAACCTAGGCATTTTAACATGATTACTCTGATTTCTCAATTAAAATTATTATACGATTTCCTCTACAGGATTTTGTTCATGAAACAAACCCAGTTTTCTTCATTTAGGCATAAAAGCTCAAAACATTTAGATGGGGAAACTAATTATCCATATATTCAATACACAGCACATTTCACACACTAAATTATTTTAACCCAACACAGTATAAATTATCAGATAATGGGAATGTAGTTGTCAAGCTTAGTCTAATTCCCAAATTTTATTTATAATTTTTAAAGTACATCTGGTATATTTTCTTTCTTGCAGAACTACCTTGGAACATCATTGCTCCACTCTGAACAAGGCTGTCTCACTGTTCCCTTTCATTAGGAGTGAATTAGACAGCATTAAAGAGGTCATCTCCACCAACCTGGAGAACTTTGCTGCCATGAAGGAAGAAATTTTTCAGCAAATAAAAGCCGTGAGCAAAGAAGCTCTGACAGGTAAAGCATCCTGCAACCATTCTGGGCAAGAGGAAAAAAAAGGATCCTGCAGGGTGATGGTGCAGCATCCTTGTGGGGGCTGCTGGAGCATCCTGCAGTGTCCCCCCAGACTGGGCAGGCTGCTCCCCTTCCCCTGCAGCAAACCCCAGGCAGCAGCAGCAGCTCTGTCCCCTCTGCATTTCTGAGTGACAACAAACTCTGCCAAATGCAGCCTCCCTTATGTGAGCCTGCCAGGGGTGACTCCCGTGGCCCCCTGGCTGCTCCCTGCTCCCACAGGGGTGGCTTTCAGGGACAGGGGACGAGGCCCCACCCTGGCTTTGTTCCCAGTGCCGTTTTTGCTGTGCCTCACCTGAGATTGGTTTCAGTGAAAAGAGTGTGCAGTGGTGCACTGACAGGCTGCCCAGCTGGCCCTCTGCCCACTTTTATGGCTTTAAAGGCCTTCAGAAATGATATTCAGACATATTCATTTCCTAGTAGTTGTGCAGTGTGGATGAGCTGCTGTTTCATTTGAATCACAAAATCACAGAAACCACAAGGATCAAGTCCATGCACAGGCCAACCCAAAGATCCCATTGTTGACCAAATTAACCTCTGGGGGTGAGTCTGATCAGGGCTTTGAGGGCATCAGTTTGATCAGGGCTGAGGGATGTGCATCTCCCACCTCCCTCTGTCCCTGTGAGCTGCAGTGAAACCTG